TTTAATGATTAACGACTGGGAAAGACCAGCCTAAAAAACTGTAGCGTAGGCTATTTTCAAAGTATCTTCTCTTCCAGCCCCATCTTAGTGCAGTAGAGTGCAGCTGAGGACTGGTTGCAGAGGACAGGGATGCTTTAAAGCATTCCTTCCCTCTTCAGGTTTGTGTCCTTCCCCTGTATGCTTACCTTTGCAACCTCCTAACAGTTAAATCAAGACAATCAGCAATAAACCGGTGTTTGAGTTGGTGTGTGACTTGGGAGAGTCTTTTCGTTTTGTGGAGAGCCAAGGGCATGAAGCAGGATTTCCCTTTGCATTAATTGTAACACAAAGATTTGACTGTGCATAACCGTGACCTCCTCCAGATCAAACTGATGTTTAGCAAAGGATGGCTTGTGAAAGATAATCCTTTGCCATGTGATTATTTCATTACTGTTCATTTTTATATAGCACAAGGCAATTCTCTGCTTTTGAGGAAAAGTTCGTGGGTGTTTTAGTGCTGAAGAAGCACCTGCAGGTCCTCACTGCTGTGTTTTGACTGCAGAGCTGTCAGTGCTGGGGACTGAACCTGAAAAGCATCAAGTCCTTCTCCTGTTAGGGGAGGGCAGTGCGATGGAAACAAGTGAATTTGGCCTGGCACCCAGAGTTAATTTGCACTTGGAATCCAGCTATAGAAAAGGCATGCAGGGAAGGAAGGAAATTTTTCACGGTGTCAGACCATGGCGACCTGCCCTGGGCAGGGGAACTCATCCAGTCTGAGAGCAGAGCGGGTTGTGATCTGGATTCATGTTGTCCTCCTGTCTGCAGCTTTTGGGCACCTGTTAACCTCCACGCATGGGAGAAGTTGTTTTTAGAAGACTCTCACCTACATTTAAAGGAAGTGAAGGGATGGGGAGAGTCCTTTTATCCTGCACCGTCCTCTCCAGGGCCATAGTACTGCAGCAGGCATCGCTACTTCCTAGCGAGAAACACAGCAGAGGAGCTGACCTTTCTTAAAATGAAGTTAAAATTTTCTCTTATCGTTCATCCTGCATTGTGAAAGTGCAAAACTGCAAGCGGGTGAGGGTGGAAGAGGGCATCCAAGCATGGAGTGCAGTGGGGGAGGGCGAAATGCTGGCTCTACTTATGCAAAAATGCTGGGAAATAAATGGGATTTATTTGTAATGAGCATCTGATGGGAGGGAGCTTAACTGGCTTTTGCCAAATAGTGTTCAGAGTCGTAGCTCTGACCAAAGAGGGGCTGCAAATGTGGGGTTTGAATCTGCCACGGAAACATGCTCTTGTGCTCTTTGCCTTTCCCAGCAGCGCCGGCAGCAGTCCCCGCACATCTTCAGAGCTGGGTCCCGGCACAGCGTAAGAGATCTGCAAAGCGCTTTGCCTCTGTTGCTGGGAGACAGTTGGCGCTGGGGCTGCTTGAACAAACACGCTTTTCTCCTCACCTCCTCTCTTCCCTCCCTCCCCACCTATTTTTTTTTTTTTATTTTTTTCCCCCCCTCTTGGTGACTGGTTATAGGAAAAGCTTGGCTGGAACCAAGTGATTCTTGCTCCAAATGATCCCATGAGACTAAAGAACCTCACAGGCTTCCGGATCTGCTGAAGTAAATGTCTTTTAGATAAAGATCCCAGACAGTAGGTACAAGAGCGGCTCCAGCTTGGAAATACACCTTGTAATGAAGCTAATTGACATAAATCTTCAAAGCTTAATGCCCTTAAACTTCTGGAGCTTGAACTGAATTGACCTCAAGACCCAAATTCTGCAGCAAGCCCTCAGGGTTGTGGTAGTATCCCAGAAATCCTGCCGCAGCTTGAGTTCAGTGCCTGCCTATGGAAGTGAATAAAACAAGCCCTTGGTCTTATTTGGAAATGAGGCGTGTTTTGCACCATCCCTATATTTCCTTCCAGTCTAGCATGGCCTTTATGTACTGATGATACATAAGGGCACCATGAAATTTCAAGGCTTTGCTGGGGAGCATTTGCTGCTTCAGAGGGGCAAAAGCGGGTAAAGCAGGTGGTTCTTGCCGAAATGGTGACTGGCATTCGTGAGACCTAGGTTACCTCTGGGTTCCAGTCGGTAACTTCTGAGAAATATGAGGCAATTAATACTCTTCAGTTATTCCATATCATCTACAGGCTTGAGCAGGAGCTGCTGCATTGCTCGCGCGTCCTGCAGGCTCCATCACAACTAATGAGAAATGGAAAAGTTCTTTAAAACAGAGCCTATGGAGAGGAGCAGGGCTGATGGAGTGAAGGTGACTGCCACAAACTCCTCCAATGGAGAGAAACAGTTAAAAGGCATAATTAGGGTAGAGGAAAAACTCAGCATTACAAGGCAGACTTTAAATTCAGGTTTTTTCTCTTAACTGGTTCCAGTTTAGTTGATCCCACACTCCTGTTGCTGATACTGCGGAGTTGCTGATTTACACAAGAGCTGTAGGTTAGCTGACAAAAAAACCCAACTTCTTGCAGTTCTCAAAGCTGTGTTTCTGGGGCTTCCTTCTTCAGCCACACTGAGTCTAAACAGCAAGATCAGATGACACGATGACTGGCCATGTAATTTTTGTCTGAAGCGATAGCTAGTGATGTGAGCAATTGCAAAATGAACCACCCTGTCTGTGTTTGATTTTTTGTTATTTAAGGGCTGCCTCTGTCCACTTGAAATCAGGATATTTTTGCCTTTTACATGGCCTCATCCTTTTAAACTTGAGCTTAAAACACAAAATCCCATTTCTTGTACAGATAGCTGCAGGTTTTGATAAAAGTTCTGAATGGCTTGTGTTCTGTAAGTAAAAGCTTTCATGTCCCAGGCTATCATATCACTTCTCCTTTGTGATTTTTACCCTCCTTTGAAAGAAGGGGTCTGATCGCTCATCCAGCCACCCTGTTAGCGACTCTGTTAACCCTCGTGTCAGTGTTTGATGGCATCTGGCCTTTGTCTGAGACCTGCGCGGCCCCGGCAGCCCGACGGAGAGCCCGGCCTTGGGGTCAGGTATCTCCCAGCTGTTTTAGCCACACACGTGTTTTAGGTCACATTCGAGTTCTGGTTGCATCCAGGGGCAGAAGAGCGATGAACGCTTTTGCCTTATGCACTGCAGGGCAGCGTGCCAGCGTCAGGACACGTGCATCCAGCGACTTCAGAACCCTTCCTTTAACTGAAATCTTTTTAGACCATTCTTCACTTTTCTTTCATACATGTTTGAATTCTGAATTTTGACTATTGTTTTTTCAGGCTGGTCTTCAAAGCTCCTAGTAAACTAGCATTAACTGTATTTCAAGCCCAGTAGAAGTGCTTGTCCTCATGGTTTTCTAGGGGCAGAGGATCCACATCCTTTAATGACTCTTCTATAGATCGCATGAATGCCTTCTCCCTGGTGAGATTTAATGCTACAAATGCACTGCCTGTCTGCTCCCCGCAAACAGGAAGGACTTTATTGGAGATCTCACTTGGCAGGAGCCTTTTAAGACTGTCTGTTTTTTTTGTTTCACCAAAAAAACCCCTCCCCAGTGGAGCTCAGCTTCAAGTTGCCGTTGATTTTGATTGGAAGTCAAACTCCCAGCTCCCCACAGGGTTTCCAGGAGTCCCGCTTGCTGGCCAGGCAGTTTTGGGAGCTCGTGCAGCTGCACCAAGCAAAGCATTGCGCTGGGATGCGGGCAGTGCAAAGGTGGCTGGGGGATGAGGTCCAGGAAAACTTGGACTCCTTCCCCAAATCTATCCTTAAAAGACCAGAAAAAAAAAAGTTGTGTAGGAGTTGAAGTTTATTCCCCCCCACTCTCTGTTGCCAGTCGATGTATCAGCTTTGCATTCAGCTGCAACCGCTCTGAAGTGCCTCGCAGGAATATTTTCTTGGGAGATTTCTGTTCAGGAATCTTTCACTGGGGGTTTTTAATTTTCTGCTTGGTTATAGATTGAAGACTGGGGTAAGCAACCAGACCTGAGCCTCTTAAGTGTCTCATTACTCTTTGGAAAATAGTGGGCTTTAATGCTCTAGATGATTGAAAATTCTGAATTGACTAACTGAGGTGCAATTTGTCAGGTCTTTCATCTTAACAGAATTAACCTAATAATTGTCACTGTCAGTTTTCCCTCTGCAGCATTGCATTAGAAAGCCTTGATTTAGAAATTCTGCTCAAGAATTGTTTTTGAAAAGTTTCTATTCTCATTTAAGAAAGTATCCTGTGGGTTCTGTGGAAATTGCAACTTGCTTTTTTTTTTTTGTGGCAAATGCAGTCATTTATATGCAACTCTTAAGTGGGCTTGAAAAGACACCATCTCAGGCAGTAGTTTTTACCTTTTTTTCTTAATTGCATGGGGTTTGCCTTGAGCTATTGACTGTGAATCGCTTAAATCAGGGGATGAAATTGTCTTCAGCTCCCTCTCCTGGGTAGTTAAGGCATTTGCCCCCATGATGTTGCTGCTTTTGCAAACTTGATCTGTTTTCAAACTCTTTCTAAGCATCTCTGATCTCAGTGGAAGTGTTGAGGAGTCCATGCACGGGATCGGGAAATGTGATGGTTGAAAAACAAAACAAACCGAAACAAAAATACCCAGCAAAACCCAGACTGAGGTGAAGCCAAGTTTACTTTCTGCATGCTGTGAAAGAGTTAGTGAACTGCACTTCTTAAGCTTTGCTGCTGGTGAAGGTGGGGCTGCATGTTTGTACAGGGTGAGCTGAGGAGTTTGGGGTTCCTTTCCTTCTCCCTAGTTTTATGCTCCAAAGGGATGGTTTTGTTGGAGCTGTTTATTTTCAGGCACTGGCAAGTTGTGGAAGGGAAGGCTCTGTGGAGTCCCAACCTCTACACGTCCCTTCTGAGTCATCCATCCTTGAGAAGACCTTTCCAGGCAAGGTGTTAAGGCTACCTTTTCTGGGTCAGAGGTGTCTTAACATCCTTTCCTGGACTTCTTCGGCAGTCACATGGCAGGTGAAATCCCGGGGCTGCCTTTAACTTTTCCTGAGGCTTTATGAATAATGCAGCATGTGCTTTTTTTTTTTTTTTTTTATTTTCAGATTGAGAAAATCATGAGTTCTATCGGCGAAGGCATTGACTTTTCTCAGGAGCAGCAGAGGATCTCAGGTAGTGTACTCAGCTCGTCTGTGTCTGTCTTGGTTGCGCTCTGTACAAAACCAAGGTGCTGGCTTCTGTGTGCAGAGCTCTTTAACCTGCTTTGGCTCCCAGAAGGGAAAGGAAGGCTCTGGCACAGAAGGAACAGACCTCAGCTTCCCAGCATAATGCTCAATACTGCTACCAGCAATTTTAATTCAATACTCCCCTAGGTAGATTAATTTAATTTTAAATAATGCGGCTGTCCTTCCCTCCCAGCAGGCTTTTGGGGGAAATGGGCTGGGTGAAGAGCATTGCATCTGGTACCCCCAGCCTGATGGGAAAGGGGGGGACCCCGATTACCCCGGTGTTGATTAATACTCGACCAGTGACAGCAGTGTGTGTGTGTAGGGGGTCTTGTTTCTTGTGGAAACTGCCTGTTTATAAATTTTGGGACTTAGTATTACTGTTTAGGATATGGTAAATTTTGAGGTGATATTTTCCATCTTTGAATAGCTTTAAACAAAGGCTTATTGCTGAGAATTGTGGAGTTTTTATTAGTGGCTTCTGCTAACTGAAGTGACTCCTTATATTCCTTCCCTTGAGGTGGAGAAGAGAGCTGCTGGCTTGTGTGAGCGGTCTGGGACACTTCTTGTGCCCTTCTGCAAGCTTGCGGCAGTAAAACCAGCTCCAGAGTGGCTGGCTCGCTGCCCCTGCTCGCACAGCCCAATAGCCACTGTGTTCTGATACTTAAAATTTCACAACAAGGCTTTGCTCAATGTGTAGGAGGAAGATCAGGTTTTCTGCATGTACAAGAAAAAAAAATCTAATTTGTAGCTGAAAAATGGTGTAGGGACTCCAGCCAGTATCCTAGGGATAGAAAGTTCCACTGATCTCCTGGCTCCTACAATTACTGTTGTTCTCGACGTAGCCTCTGAGAAAGTCGAACCGATCGCTTACAGTTCTCTCCTGCCTTTCAGAATATGTTTGTCTCAAGTTTCTGTTCTTCTCTGGTGGGTAGCAACAAAATTTTCTTTAAGCAGTCAGTCTGAAACAGAGCCGCTGCATATTTGTCTTCTGGCTGGTCTCACAATCCTCACAACAATCTTGCTTTTGTTTCAAATACATAATGCAGTAGCAAGATGTTCTTTTTTCTGGCTTTTTTCAGTTACATAAGCGTGGCTCTGTCCCTTTGGAAATGAGCAGAACCTCTCTATAGCCCTCCACATTCTAGTATTTTGTTCTTTAAGGCTCACAAAATCCTTTCAGCCCTGGGACGACAGGATGGGAATTTTGTATTTAGAGTTTTACACCAGAGTGACTATAGCAAAGATATCGAATATCCCCGTTATCTCCATGGCAATTCACCCATCCCAGCTGCACATTTGCTGCTGGGCATGTTTGGAAATAAAGCTGCTCTGCAGGCGCGGTTGGGACGGTTTTCCTCTGGGTAAGGCAGCGGCTGGTGGGGGAGCGCGAGCTCGGAGGGGCTGTCTGGCCGCCGGCGGGCTTCGGCGTACATTGGGTTGTGTGAGAAGGTGTCCTTTCGAGGCTGCTTGTATTTCACAGATTAAGAAACCTTTTCATGGGGACCAGGAACACTTGAGCAAAGCCTCTGCGGGGCAAAAGGTCCTGCTCAGGCAGTTTGTCTTTGCTGGAGCTTACGAAGGGCCAGGTTTCAGTTTGGTTGCACTAGAACAAGGCATAAAGAGCTGCTTCTGCCACCCAGCCTCTAAAACAAACCGTCTGCAGTAGCTGGAGTGCTGTGGCAATTTTCCAGCAAAACCACTGTGTTTCTGCAGCCCATAAAATGTTTTTGCCAGAATATTTTAACATTTCTTCTCCAACTTTCCACCTGTAAAACTCTAGATGCCCTACTGTTGCTTCAAATCAGATAAAACTCATCATAATTTTTTTCTATATATTTCACCTACATACTTCTGTGACCTTGAAGTGTGTAGTTTTATTAATTTTATAATAAAACTTCATAAATAGTGTGTGAGATGATTTAGTTGTGCATTTTGTCTTAGCTTTTTCTAATTTCCATGAAACAAGGTGGAGAAAGAATCGTAGTGTCATTTAGAGCATTGATTTTCCTCAAACAGAGCAACATCCTCCTCCAGCCATGTTTGCAACTATTATAACTCTTATCTCTGCACTGCAGCATCAGAGTGATGGGAAATGATCCTGGGTTAAAACACTCTCATTTCCATAAATGTTGTACATAGAGGCAGCTGGGGTGTGGGGAAGAGCAAACCCTGTGCCGAGTTTGTGTTCAGGATCCGGACCAGGGCAGCAGAGTCGGGACCAAGTCTCAGTTAAAAATCTTCCTCCATTGCTCCTGCAGTGGCCTCATTGCATGCCTTGGCTCTGCACATCAAACAGGATTGTTTTGCCATTTTACCAGCTTTTTTCCTATACTTTTTGTGCTTTCTTTTGAGGAAAGTAGATGTGAAGGGGAGGTGGAACTAATAGAGGAAGGAGGCTTTGATATCGGTGCAAATGTCCCCAGGTGTGTCTCCATACTGTTTGCAGAGCGGAGGAATAACCTACCCCTTTCCCAGCCGACTCTCTCAACACTTCTACATTTCCAAGCTGCTCGGGAGGTTTATTTTAATTCTTTTCTTCCCGGGGTGCAGCTGCACTCTGGAAACCAGCAGTTTAAGGAACCTGTCCTCTCCGCTGCTGCAGGCAGAGCCGTGGGTCCTCGGGAGCGTTGTCTGCGTATGGAGCTGAGCCTGTGGCCTTCAAAGGAGGAGATAATTGCTTGGCTTTAATGGTGCCTTTTGAAACGGAGCTGTTTGTACTGAGCCACAGCGTGCAGAGCTTGATTAAATGGATGCTGATGAACTCTGCTGTCTGGGGACCAAAGGTGCCTAAATACCATGTACTGCTCAAGGGTTTTAGAAAATCTACGTCTTGAAATTGTTGTCGTAGGAAATGCTTTCTGATGATGAGACCAGTTCAGCTGTGGCAGTGCTGTCCTCTGCGATACTTCCTGGCTGACCAAGAGCCACTGTCCCGATAGCTGGGAACAGTCCTGCTTGTTTGGGGACATGGCCTTCTCCCGATGCCTCTTGGATTTCTGGTGGGGGAGGATCGTCCTCCCCGGCCACTTCTGTTAGGGCAGCGGCTGTGCTGGGAGCTGGACTGGGGTGATGCCAGTTGTGGGTCAGCACGGGTGTCGTGGTGGCCGTGCTCTTTGGATGTGGTTAATCTGCCGTGTGCCTCACCTTGGGTGATGCTCGGCTTTTTCTGAGTATTCCTGTAGGTATCGATATCCACTAAACAAAGCTGCTTGCAGGACAGGTGCTTCCCCTCTGTACTTTAAGCATGAATTCCCTTCTCTGCCTTTAAATCAGGAGCAAAAAGCAGAACTTGAGCTTGTTTGCTTTCACTGCAGCGTGATGGAGGATGCTGGAGAGCTGCCACCGCGAGGGATTCTGTCCTTTTAAATCCTTCACCTCCAAACTGCTGCATCTGAACTGCTCCGGGTGGGCAGCGTCTCCTCTTGATGAGATGCTAATATGCATCTGCACACGCAGCTCACGCTTGCCGTAATAAAGCTTATCTCGTATCCATTCGTCACTTGGATTTTTGCTTTGACGAGGAGGAATCCACCATGCATTCCCAGTAGGATTTTAACCTCTGCCTGCCCTAGGTACTACATACTGATTAGGGCTTATGTTTTCTAGGGTCAAATGCCTTCACAGCGGGATGCAAAATGGTGTGTGGTTTTTGGTCTAAATCAGTGGCAACTGTTTAGCATCCTGCTTTGCGACAAGCCCTCCCCTCCCCGAGCTGGTCCGTAGCTGTAGCAGCGTGTGATGGATCAATACCGTTAGTGAAGAGGTCTAACATGGAGGGGAGAGGAGGAGCCAGCACTTCAGCAAAAGCTGCTGTTGTGCAGGGAGTTTTCAGCAAAATGGACACCCATCTCTGGAAGCAGGCGGACCCAGGAGCTGCCTTGTCCTTAAGCCATGTGTTTTCCTGCGGGCTATGCTGTGTTATGCTTGGTTTGGGATCCCTCATACACACGTCAGCTGCTGTACGTATTCCCTGTTTCTCCTTCTTTTCCTATGAGTGCAGCTAGCCAGCGAGCGGGCAGTGCTTTGCCAGCCCCTTGCTGCAAGGATGAAGGCTGTCCTGGGGTGCGTGCACCCTTACATTTTTGTTTTCTAGCAGTGTTTAGCTTTTGCTCCTCTGGACTTTGCTAGGGCTGTTTTAATGTTGCAGATGATATCACAAATGTGCAGGGAGCTGCAGGGAACTTTCCAAATGTTCTCACATCCTCAAAAACAGGTGGGCTTTGAGGATTTTGGGGCTCCTGACTAGTTTTGTTTCTGGAATCACTAATTTGCCTGGAAAGGTAAAATGCCTTGCTTGGCAATTACTGTGTAGATTAGTATGTTTGGAGTCTGTTTATACAAGCAACTATTGCATACAACTGATGTGGGTCTAGGGAAAGCAGGCACCCTTGGAGTCATGCTGGAACAAGCCCAGGCCCCGAAACGCTTGGTTTCAGGTCCCTGTCATGCCCGACTTCCCATACAAATTTGGGCAAATAGCTGGTTTCTGTACCATCAAGCTTTCCTCCGTAAAACAGGGTAACAAAACTTCCGTGTCTCGCCATGGTGTTATGGGCAAGCACGTTAAACTTCTGAGGCCCCTCGATAATAAGATAATTAGATGCATCTTGGCATCTTTATAGAATTTGGAGCTAGAATCTGTTTCTTGGCCAACAGGTTCAACCCTCTGATTTCCTGGTAGAGCTTGTAAAAAAATCTTCCAAATGTATTTTCAGAGGGTGGGGTGGTAGAGGTGGAAGGAAAGGAGAAGTCTGTCACTGATCCATGTTGGAAAGTGCTTTTTGGAGGCTGGGGAATCAAGGAACACCATCTCTTAAAGCATACCGGATTCCACCTAACCTCTGCCTTAAAGGGTTTTTTGGCCTGGGAACAGATATTTGTATTCAGTCAGTGTGTCTCTGCCTGTGTGTTTTGCAGTCACACATTTATTTAGCTCCAGCAACCCACTTCTGATCAGCTCTTCCTCCCAGACGTGAGTCAGAGGGGTAGGGGAGTACAGGTCTCACCACAGAAACTCAACCCCGCTGCACTGCATCGTCTCATCTCGCTGCTGGCTTTGAACAAGAAACCTGCGTGTCGCTCGCTGTGTTACGGTGATTTGTCAGGCAGTGTTTCTCTCCCCAAAAATAGAGGAGATGAATGGTCTCTGCTCAATAAATCAGCTTGATGCAGGCAGGAGGTATGCTGCACTGGACAGGGAACACATTTGGGGCTTGGTGAGTTAACACTGCAGTTGACTTGAGATGTAAGGAACGTGCTTGGTGTTTTACTTGACAAAAGAGGGAGAAATTTGTTAGCAATCTGCATTTGGCTAATTGATCTTAGTTCCAGTAAAGTCAGATGCTGGCTGTATTTCTTGTGTCTGATAGCATTACTGGCTATGTTCTCCATGCCTATCCATCTTGCCTAATGCACTGCCTGAGTTTATAGCCCCCTCAGTGGATGTAAGGATTTTCAGCTGGTGATCATCCCCAGCTGTGGCAATAACTGCTTGGCTTGGTTGTCCTACATGCTCACTTTGTGTGTGGACAGTGGTTTCATCAACACTTGCTTGGACTTGCTGTTTTTTTTCTTCCTGGTGAAGCTTGGTCGTGTGTCTTCAGGCCACACCAGGTCATGTTAAACTGTTAGCAGTTTCCATGAGCAAACGGGGTGATGCTTTTTGTCTGGCATGGCCCGCGTACTTATTTCTTCCTCCTAACAGACTCAGACTTTGCACTAAAGATCATTATTGAAACAATAACTTGTAAAAGGACCTTTCTGAGCCCGGGTAGCCCTCTCCCTTTCCTATTTTCTTTGAAGCATGCTGTGTTACTTGAAAAATGTCTTGCAAGAGGAACTGAATTGCTTGGCTTGCTTTTTTTGCAACTTTTCAATAATTATTTCTAACTACACTCTATTGACTGTTTCCCTCTCTGCTGTCTGCAGACCTTTTAAAGGTAGGATTCCTAAAATGTGGAGTATAAGGAGAAGGATGGAGCTGAGAATGAGGAGTTTGTTTCAATCAGAAGTTGTGATCGGGCTCTTGCTGGGGGCACGGTGACTGGGATGCATTTGCTCCCATGTCATCCTCATAACATGCAAATATCAAGTGTGTTTTGGACTTCCTTATTTTCAGTCTAGGGTGTTTTGGGGCATCTGTTCTCTTCTTTTTCTTTTTAAAGTAAACCCCTCCATCCCCCTCCCTCCAAATATCCCCCCTTCATTTTCTCCTGATTTGAAGTGGTTTTAAAAACAGAAAACCGCACTTGGTGTCATTGTAGGTTTCCCCTTTAAAAGCTGAAATACATTTACGAGTGTACAAAAGGCTGAGTAAAGTAAATAATTTTTTAAAAAGAAATTCAGGAGCTCAGAGGAAGCAATGGCTGTGGTTTCATTCCCCCTGCCAATACCCCGACTGCTTCCAGAAATGCTGTAGTAGGCAGCAAGCACCTCTCTCCCGATAAATTAATTCTGAGCCAGCCACAAATCACTTGGAACTGTCAAAGCAGACCTGTAACATCATTTTTTGAAAACCCAAGCTGTGTAGTCCATCATCGAGTAAATATTGAGAAGTCAGTAATTTCCACTAGAGAGTTATAAAGCTGCTGTCTCCCTCCCCTCTCCTGCAGCTTCTGCTGCGAAGGCTGCTCACTGCTTGTACAGTGGATGGAAAAGCTGGGAGGGGTAAGAGGATGAAGAGAAGGGAGGGACAGGCAATGCAAGAGCAGGAGACAGGACTGAGAGTGGAACGGCAAGCGTGGAGCTCGCTGCCTTCAGACAAAGCACGCCGCTGCAGCGCTCTGCAAGGACACACAATTGCTTGGTGAGGGGACGCGGCTGCCTGGCTGCTGGCGGACCAGCAAGGAACGATGGAAGGGAAGGATGGAGACGCCGGGCGAGCAGGAGCTTGTTGCATAAATTCCAGGTTTAGATGCTGCCCTTCTGTACAGGCTGTGTTAGGGGAGGGAGCCGGAAACCTTTTGTGATCTCTGCGTTTCTCGTGCTGCAGTGTGCACTAGAGAGGCTGGCCAGCTCTCTCGAACTCGCCGAGCACAGCTTGCCTGGCAGAGGAGCTCTCCTGTGGACCAGAGCAGCAGGATCCCTTACCCCAAGAATTTGCAAATAACACTGTGAGCTCTGCGTTGTGCAGCCATTGCAGCGGGCAGGGGTGGGAAGGATGGCTTGGAAGGTACCAAACAGCTTCAGCTGACCTGAAGGTTCAAAGAAAGAAAACCTGGTTTTCTGATCATCTTTTTATTTGCATATACCCTTGAAACAGATGTGCTAAGAAGCCTGAAAAATTCTGCCTGTCTTGCATAGCAAATTTCCTGATGAAAAGGAGATCTCTGAACTTTTTTTTGTCATATTTAAGGTCTCAAGCTTTTCCAGAGGAGAGTAACAAGTCACTGGACTCTCTTCCCAGGGGTGAGGGCAGGGAGAGCTTGTCTACCCAGCTTCTGTAGGGTGTTGGCAAGAATCTCATTTATCAGAGGCTGAGAGGAGGTGCCAGGGCATGTCTCGGACTTGAGCTGCTGCAGGAAGAGGAGAGTGTGTGCTTGCATTTGGTTTCTTTTTGTTTTGACGTGGTTTGGAAGCAAGGAACTAAAATGCCTCCTCCTCCAGAGCTGCTCCCTGTTTGAGTGAGGGGCTCGGATGCAGCAGCTGTGCTTAGCTGAAGAAAATGAAGGAAGGGCAAATACAAGCATGCACCAAACACCTGGCAGGACTGAATGTATTGGGTGAAAACCATACTGATTCCTCTGTCTCTCTTGCTGTCACCCAGTGCAGCAGTGTAGTTAGACTCTCCAGTGCAGCGAGCCCGGTCCGAGCACTGTGCTGAAATGCCATGCATCCGGATAGGTTGTAAAATGACAGTGGCAAGACTCTCAGACTCATGCTCGGGGTCACTCACACCTCTGCTCCTCTTAACACCATAACGGAGAGAAAAAAGCTCTTACCATGGTTTGCCTCTTTCAGGACTGCTTGGGGAAAAAAAGTATAAGCCTTTCTTTTCTTCTGCCGCAGTTTGTGTGCTTTCTTTGTCTTGCATGTCTTCCTGTGGACAGCTGCTCTAGTCTGGCTTCCGCTGCTTTTCTGAAAGTCCGTCATGTCTGTTTTGTGTCTCAGCTGCATGAAGATGTATTTTCTCTCTAGCTGCTTTGTGCCTCCCATGCACCTGGCCCTCTCCGCTGGCCCACTGAGCAAGGTAGTGCCTCCGAAGTTGCATGGACGAGAGGACCTGTGCAGCTCTGTGCGTTTGTGAGCAGTTTCGCTCCGTTCTCTCGCACCTACGACTGGCTGGGAATGCCTTGGGTGAAAGTTTGCTACACTCCTCCCGCCCCCTTCAGATGAGCCAAGGAGTGGATCCGCATCCCCGTGGGGTTGGGCTTCGTATGTTTGCCTGGCAAGAAAGTCGCCTGAGCCCTGAAAGCAGTGCATGTGATGTCGTGGTCCCAGGAGTGCTTCTAAACAGTTTGTCTGGGCACGGTGTTTCTTTTTCTGAGTGTTAACTGGGATACAAATTAAACCTGGAGCCCGTGGAGGCACTGGAAGCTTGTTGTCCATGGTCTGTGCACAAGAGAGGAATTGTCTGCCAGCTGATTTGTTGTACTCTGACCATAATTTTTTGAGTTTCTTTATGGTAATGACTATGATGTGGCAATGCCATCTGTCTTCCTCAGAGTGCCGCTGCTACCGCCTTAATGGTTTTTCCCTTTTCAAGCGTCTGCCGATTCCTCTCTCGTCAGGTTCGCGGATGCTGGAGCAGAGTGTCGGGGAGTGGCTGGAGTCCATTGGCCTGCAGCAATATGAGAGTAAGCTGCTTTTGAACGGCTTTGATGATGTCCGCTTCCTGGTAAGTTGCTGGGTGGGACCCGGGGGCTCTAACATATGTGGTGGCCAAACCTTTACTTGTTATCAATACCCTGTGTCAGCTGCGGAGCACATCTGGGTCCTGCAGCCCAGCAGAACGGTCTTGGGGGGCGTGAAGAAGGTTAGACAAAAGGAGGAGATGAGGGTTGTGTTGGGTCAGGGTCATTCATCTTCACATTTAATTCAGGTGTTATAGGTTTTTTCACTATAATTTTGATATAAAATGTTATTTACCCTGCCCCCTAAATCTTTACTATCCAATTTACTCCAGAAATGGGAACTGAAATTCATTAGTGTTTTGAAGAAATCATTGAGCAGTCTGTGTTCTGGACTGTGAAGGAGGTGGTAGACCTCCTGTTGGAAGTACACTTACTCTAAGCATGCAGGCAGGATATTAATGAGCTGTACTTAATTGCATTGGCACCGTTGGCTCTGAAACCTAATGATGACAAGACTTAATGTTGAGGGTTTTTTTTAATAACCAGTGTCTAGAAACTTAAAGCTGCATGATGTAAAAATCTGAGAATTCGTATGGAACGATGAACTCCAAAGACAGAAAATCTTGGGGCTGTGGGAGGGTTCTTCCTGCATGGCTTAAAGAAATGCTTTTTGAGTGTGGACTGCAAGTTTTGCAAATAAAGAATTTCTAAAAATGGATGTAAACCTTTGGAGAAGTCATTTGGGCTAATGTAATATTCTGCCTTGGAAAGGGAGTGGGGCATCTCTTTGGTACTGTGGATGGAGCAGAGGGGTGATATACAGGAGGATGTGTGCTTGACAGCTGTATTGTGAAAACACAGCGGCCATCTGACAGTGGTGAGGGTACGTGGGGGGGGGGCAGCTGGAGAAAGAAGGGAAGACTGGATAGGACATGGATGGATGGGCAAGGAAATGCACATTGGAGCAGTATCAGTAGGGGTACTTAAAGGCAGGATGTAATTATGCTTTTAAAAAATGACCTGACCAACAGTATAAATGTCCCTGTGAACGTCATGGGATCTCCAAGCACCCCTAAAAGTTGAATATTGTGGCAGTATCCAGCCATGCCTCCTGGCCTCCATGACAAGCAGCTTATCCCTTTGTCTCCCCTCAGCCTGGCAGGGCCAGCGCTCCCCTAGAGAGCTGGATTTTACTGTGGTTTATGCACCTTCAGTAGAGGAACGGCCGGTGACAGGCGATGGTCTTGCCACGCACCCTTCTGCTTCTACCCTGCCCTGTTCCTGCAGCTCTGTGTGGCACCTTCCCCCTTCCTGGGGGAGGATTTGGGGCGAGCTGCCCCTGCAGAAGTCCCGGGTGCCCTCGCTGGGCTCCGGCACTGCCCGCAGCCATGGAGGACCAGGGACAGCTCCCGCCGCTGCTCCCTGTCCCGTCCCGGGGGACTCCGTCCCCTGCAGTGTCCCACCCAGCGGGTCCCAACCCCTCGGTGGACCCTCAGCCACTGGGGCCACTGCACTTCGGGCAGGTGCATTCAGCTCTGTGCGAGGTTTCGGCATCACGTGCACGCTGCAGGGGTCTGATTCAACTTCTGGAATGCTCTGGAGATGGTACAATGAATTTAAATTAAATAATACCCCACAGATCCCTGCTTGGGATCCTCTGCTGATGGATCTTTGACATTTGTGGTATCAGTGGGCTGCTCTCACTCCAGCAGTAGCAGATAAAAATGCCTTTACTCTGCCTGGCCCTGCCTGGCAAGTGTGATGATAGACCTCTCTCAGCACAGAAGTTTAGGAATGAAGGACATTAACTTTCTGCTTGTCCCAAGAGAGGTAGGAGCTCGAGGCTTGGAAGCAGGAGTTTTTGACTGTGCTTATTTGCAGTAAATAGCAACACTTAGTTGCAAACTGTCTGATGCAGAATTTTGTCATTTATAAGATGAAAGCAAAGGCTCCTTGTATATGTCTCAATGTGATTTTTATGGTGTGTGTGGTAGGAGTTGCTGGATCACGGCTGGATGTTTTTCTTCCCTGTCCAATGCTGGGTAACCACTCCCAGTGTAGGGAATCAGCTTTTGCTGGTTTTGGGAGGTAGGACGCTTGCCTCACTCATTCCTCTCAATTTTAAAAAGTCAATTTGACAGAGATTTCCTGCAAACCCTGGCTGATTTCCGTTTTGCTGCTTATCCCTTTTACTAGAGAGTTGACCCTGGCACCCCTGCCAAGACTGGCTTTAAATCCTTTCATCCAAGTCCTGGGAACTTCAAGCTAATACAGTCAGCCCAATATGAAAGTTTAATTATTAAGAATCTTTTCCTTTGTGATGTTGCTTGCCTTCAGCTTCTGATGTGGGAGTAAAACCTTCAGATATGGTACAAATGAGGAACAAGTAGGTAATTTGTTTTTAGTAGTGATTTTGATGTTCTCAGATGAATTATTAAAGTTGTTGTAAACGCTGAAGCGGGCTAGTGCAGTGAGTACTGAAAGGATGTGGATGCTTGGCTCCTCGCGTGGCAGGCTGTCCATTCCTTTTCTTTTTTACATAACAATTTCTTTATTAACTGCCACTTTCAATTGCTAATGAAGAATATTTCAAACTAAGTGGCATTATTTTCCTGGAGTTAAATGGTTTCTGTGAAAGGATTAGTCCCTATTAGGGCCTCATTATGTTAAGTATTTCAGGGTCCAAAGAATGCTGGGTAATGGTTTACAAATTACCAGATGTGCTATGAGGGCAATTAAGTTTTACTAGCAAAAATTAAGAAGTTGGAGTCTTTTGATACAGAAACGCTCTTGTTTTCTGTGTAAGATTTCGCATTGCATTACTCCCTGCGTATAGTGCTGTGGGTTTTTTTTCAGCATGCCGAGGATGTTCCCTTTGCTGCTTGAGTCCCCAGGTGCCCATTTGTGAGCAAACAAAAAGCTTGTACATTGGGGAGACAAGAAAAGCATTGCAAGAACAAGCTCTTAGATGTGTAGTGATAGTACAGCTGTAAAACAGAGGTGGCGTCCTAGAAGAAGAGCTCTTTAACATACTTGTGAAGAATGCTCAGCCTGCAGTAGATAGTAATTCAAAGTAGGATTAAGAAAACAGTCTAACAAAGAGCATATCCTGTAGCTGCGGTGGGGACTGGGTGAAATCCGGTGTTTGCTGGCACACTGGCATTTGGTGCTGTTCTTCACTTAAGAAAAATAGATGTTTAAAATGTAATATCTACCCAGTAGGTAGTACGGAGTTGGCAAGAGACAAAAACTGGAGGGTGCAGAAGCCTGTCTGGTGCTTTTTAGTGCTCGTGTAGCCCTTAGTTTAGCCAGTTATGGTTTCAGGAATTCCTAATTTCCTGTGTATTTTCAGTTGGCTCTTGTGTTAATCTGCACCCTGTATTACAAAAGCCCTCACCCCCCAGATAAGGGAAATGATTCATGAATGCACAGTATGGTAAAGTGATTTTGAAAAGTGCTCTGTAAATACATTGGGCTTCTTAATTAGATGTTAATCTGGGAAGGCAGAAACATGCATTGTTTCCAAGAATAATAATTCCATTCTTTTCAGAATCCAGAGATTCGTTATTAGGTGATTAGCTGTGCTTTCCGGACACGCGACCGGCCATCTCGCTGGTGATAGCTCTGCAGGCTGCGTGTCCAGCAGCACCGAGGAGAACCAGTGAGCGGGGAGGGGGCGATAATCCTGCTTCCCCCCTCAGGGTCTGCTCGTACGCTTTGACAGGCAGCACTGACAGCTGAAGGAGACTTTGGAGACCTGTAGTTTTCACAGGTTTACGTTGAAGAGGCAGGGTGGGAGATGTAAAGCGTAATGTGAGCCGTGAACTTTTTACAGGTTTTCCTATAAAAGGAGAAGGTAGAAGTGTATTTCAGCAGATAGCTGGGGTGGGCTGTGAATGTCAAAGCTGAGGCTTCTCTGCATCTGGGACAAAGTCTTAATAACTTATGGCTGGAGGCCTCATGCTCCAGCAGGACCCCTTGCCCACAAGCTTGCGAGATCAGCACTTTGGTTGTCAGCAAACTAAAAATTTCTGTTGCAGTTCAGGTCTGCTTTGGTAAGAGAGTGATGACTGCAGTCAGTGTGTGTGTGTCTCTGGCAGTGCTGTTTCTCTTTTGGGGTAATTCAGGACAAATAATAGAGTATTACTTGTAGTACCAGTTGGTTCTGAGCAGTGTCAGACAGGGCTTGTTGGGAATATTCTCACTTTTGGAACTTGCAGAGATTTTTGAGGGCTTGTGAATTGGTTATTGGGAAGAACAAGTCGGCACAACCATGGTAACGAGAAGGGAATCACAAGTGTTAATACATAAATGCAATGACCGTCATCCTGAGTGGGCACAGCTACTGGGCATTTTAGGAACTGGAGCTGGGATGGGACGCTGCAGACAGGCTGAGTTTGCAGCACAGGCCTCACTGATGTGTTGCTTTGTTCCAGCGCTGAAAGCAGAGTTTCTTGATCCGTGTTTCCATGATGTAAAATTCTTGTTAAATCTGCAGAAGAAAACAAAATGCTGCAGCATTGATATGGCACACGAGAGCATCTCGGTGATGCTGACCGGTTTCACAGTCAAATGCAAAACCAAGTATGTTGATAACTAGTTCAGAGTAAAGGATCTTGATCAAGTATTGACTTCAGCCAAGGGTGGGTATTGCTAACGCAAGTCAGCAGGATTATTTAAACATCAATTTGATGTGACGTTAAAGCTTACTTGCCAAGGTGTGTGTTTCTGGGAAGGGACTGAAGTCTATGTTTATTTCAGATTGTGTGTAATCTTTTGGCTTGGTTGAGGGAAGAAAGGGGCTATAAAAGATGAAGTTAGGTAGCTTAGTTTTCTAAAAGACTGATTTCTCTTTCCAAATACTAACATCTGCATATTAGGCCATATTTTTGTGTATGGAGAAATTCTTATATTCCCTTTAAGTTGCCTACAATAGCCTTGTTGTGGTGTTTATGTGCAGTTCTAGGAAAGAGGCTTTCCCTGATTTTCTTGCTGTTACTCTCCAGCACGAAGCCCGGGGTCCAAAGGAGCAGATTCTTTTGCT